GTCTGCTGAAACACAGAAGAAAAGACGACTGAAGGGAAAAAAAACTGATATAGTGATGAAGATGGAACCAAACCATCTGGAACATCAGGAGGTGTTATCATTAGAAGGTCTCTTACTTCACACTTTGTGGTTCTAAACAATCTGATCTGTCCTCAGTACCAGAACCTTGTTAAATTGTCAGACAGCATATTTCTGCCTCTGTTTTCTGGCCTGTATTTGTTCAGTGTCAGGATCTGATTTCCAAAGCAGAGAAAATGAAGAAATGCTGACAGAAACATGCAGCAGCATCAGCAACATCAACTCTTTAGCATCATGTCACCATTGTCCTCGTTGGACCAGTTCTATTGGACCCTCTCCAACAAACACAGCAGCTCCAGAAGAGGCAGAAAAAAACAAAAAGTTTCCTCAGCATTTTACAGCTTTAATGAAGAAAAATAGAGGAAATAATTCAACCTGCCAGAGAAACATCTCATTGGAGCAGCTAGTTTTCACATTTCACCCTTTAAGCCCGAGAATACCGCCACCACTATGAGCCTCTGAGGGTGGAGCTTTGTCTATCCTTTCACAGAAGGTAAAAAACTAAAACTTCTATTAATTTCTCTGAATCCTTCAGACGTCTGCAGGTGACGATTCTCAGTCATCCAGGTCAGTTGTTTGGTCTGTTGGTTCCACTGACTCTGTGCTGTAGCATGTGCTGCTGTATGTCTGCACACTGATCTCTATTTATTCACTGATTGCTGATTGCCCGTTGGTAGTAGGGGGTTGTAGTGAAGCCACCGGCCGCCATATTGGTACTCCCTAGTTAGACCGATAGCAATGTAAACAATATGTGCTCTACATCATCGAACAATGACGATGCTCTCATTTTCAGGGGGACTTAAATTCATCAATATGTCACACACTGGCAGCTCATAGCTTAAGTAGATTATTTTAACTCATAAAGAGCCTTTAAAAAAATAAACACATCAAATTACATAGTCATTATCAGGGGTTGACATTAAGGATTTTTACCACTTGACCAACTTTCACATTTTATTTGCCCAGAAACAATTTTTACTTCCCCAGTATAATGTTAGATAAATATAGTTCCTAAAATAAATTTTTGTATATATCAATGAAACATGTTTGTTTTTTAAATGTTTTTTGCAATTCAGTATTTTTTAAGTTTACAGGTTCCTGGTGTGAATATGCATTAGGGGTGGAACGGTTCACAAAATCCATGGTTCGGTTCGGTTCACGGTTTCGTGGACACGGTTTTCGGTTCGGTATATGTTGATTGTTA